TTGGAATATCATGACGAAAGGAAGAGTAATGCAGACCTTCAGACAGCAAGAACAATGAACTACAAAGACATGTTTGTTTGTTGGCGGTCTGACTGATGCGTAGATTATTGCTGCTGTGCAGGTTGGATCTTGAAATAGTTTGCATGGTTGGAATCTCAAGACGTGTGCATGTAGCTTTCAGAATTAACAAATGAACTGATAACAAATCTAATGTCTTCGTTAACGGTTAACAAAGAGAGATTTTGTTTTGCAGATGTTTTGCTTCATCCTGTCTTTTTGTTGTTCAACATTTATTTATGTAGCACTCCATTTTTTTTCCGTTAATGAATGGTGAAAAAAAATTGTGAAAGCTAATATATGTACGATACTTGCATCCTTTTCCTCATATGCATTAATATAAAAAGAACATTAACATTCATCTCCACCACCTACTAACAATGATTCAAATGTGTATTCACACCCACTCAACACCTACATAGATGGACCTCCATGCATTTACTCCCATTCCATAAGGGTAGTTCACAGATGGAGTAACCTTAAACATGTACAATCAAATGCTTATAGGCACTCCTATATGTAGCTTCCATCCAATCCTCAACATACTGTATAAATACCTATCAGCCTTCAAACATCCATCAGTCAGTGCCCATCCTCCATATGTCAATGTGGGTCTGTTGAAAAGAGCAGGAGCTGATCCCTCTGGGGTTCGACAAGGAAGGAGCCAATAAAGCCTGTTGTGGTTTTCAAAAATAGCTCGTGTATCGGATCAGCAGTACAAGTAGACGCATAGGAAATGCAAGTAAATGTGATCGCTCTAATCATCTTTTATTAGGAAAGAAAGTGATAACTGATATTTAAAGCAGCAGCCTGGAGTTGTTGCAGTTGCAAGAGGAAAAAAAGAAAAAAAAAGACCTCCCGGGACAACATTTTTGTCGCACTGTCTATTCTCATTCTCAAGTTAACCTTGAACGTATGCATGCGCTGCAATTCAACATACCTTACTGGCAGATATACAGTCATTTTAATTTAGTAATGAGTAAGCTTAACAATAGCAGGACCAGATGTTAGATCATCTGGACTCTCTCCCTCTTACTGCCCTTCCCCACTGTCATGTTATTGTAGTGTTTTACAAATCCTGATCCATTGTTTTAATCCCTTCTGCTACCCCACACACATTTAACAGTGCCCAATTATTATTATATTACTTTTCCCTATTACAGTATGTTGATAAGAATATTATAATTAATGAAATTTAAGAAATGATTAAAAGTCTAAGGGTAATTAAATATTATTTCATAATAATACAGCATCCTTCTTTTTCCTCTTCCTCTCTCGCTCCCTCCCTCTCTCCCTTTTACACTTGGTACTTGGCAACTATGAGTTCTACAAAACTGTGAAGAATTATCTTGTACTAAAGTGATAACATTGATGTGAGTTTCAAGTTTAGCCAAAGAGAAAAATTAGATATTATAGAATCAAATAGAATGCCTTTATCGTAGCACAGTGTACAGCGAAAGTTGCTCTGCTTCTCTAAAACAAAAGAATAACGTTCATCTCATTCAGCCACACACACGTGCCCGTCCAGTAAACTTGTAAAAAGTTCAATCTATCCATCCTTTATCTATACTGCTTTTCCCGTTTAGGGTCGCTGAGGAGCTGTCATTGGGCGAGAGGCGGGGAACATCCTCGACTGTTCGTCAGTCAATCACAGGGCTGACATATAGAGACAAACAACCAGCCACACTCACAGTCACACCTATGGGAAATTTAGAGTCTCTAATAAACCTAACGAGCACGGGGAGAACATGCAAACTCCACCCAGAGAGGATGCAAAACCGTGCAGCTTTATGAATAGTTATGTTAAAAGAGATAAAAAGCGGTAGATAAAAAAGTATGAAGAAAGATCCAGTGCTTTCAGTGTTAAAGGACCTCTGGTTATTATTGAGTCTTGTACGGATAGAATTTCATCTTGATTGTTATGAATTAAAGATAGCATTTTACACGAAATGTTACCATAAATAATAAAGGGTTTTTCCTGCATCCAAAGCTCCTGCGCCCACCTCCACCTATTTTTGTACCGCCACCAGCCCTTTGGGGCTGACGGGTGTTTTCATGATGAACTCAGTACTTAAAAGTACAGCAAGTGATGAATGTAATTTCTAACAGCAATTACAGCTGTACTGTGATATAGTGGCAGCACTGTATCGTAATCAATCCAGTGCACCAGATAAAGGGCTGTTAAAAAACAAAACAAAAGAGGAAGTAAAGGGAAAAGACAGGAATGCAGCTTAGGTGAAGAAGTAAAGTTCTCTCTTGTCATGTGAATCATCAGTCTCCATGTGAATATTAACACATTGACTAGAATGTAAAATTTGACATTCATGCAGGAAGTACTAGATATTTACTATTGATGCTGATCATTTTCAGCGTCCAGTGTGCAAAAAAACACCTACTGCAGAAGCTATTTTTGGTCACTGCGCTCAAAGTGATCTCAGTTGAAAACAGTTACATTTTTGGAACAGCGTCACCATCGTCATCACTTTTAATTCTCCCTTAATGACCAATCAAAATCGGGACGGGGAAGTACCTTCTGATATCAGCTTTGTCAACAACAATGGCGGACAGGATTCATTAACATTGTTTTTGTGTTTCCTTGGTCATATATCCTTGAATAAAAATTTTATATTAAGCACATGTAGCTATCTAAAACAAACAATGGTCATTACAGAGGGAAATGGAAGTTAACTTTGGTGATCTAGCAACATGAAGCTCCAGTGAGAAGCTCTCTGAAACTGAGGTTGTGAGCGTTTCCAGCAAATGTAAATGTATGCATCATACTCAAGCTGTCAAATGTAAGTCCTGTAGTGTTCAGTGTTGTTCTGTTGTTGGCTGGGAGAAAAACTGTTTTTAAGCCTTGGTGTGCAGGTCTTAAGGGCCCTGTAGAAACAACTTCCTGATGGAGGCAGAGATGGAAGGTGGATGTATAGGGGCGAGTTACATCCTTCGAAGATGCAGCTGGCTCTGCGGAGACAGTGCTATCTGAAGGTGTCCTCCAGTGAGGGTAGAGGGAGTCTGACTATTTTTTGCGATGTGTTAATGACTCTCTAGAGAAATATGTATCTCTTTCAGAGTAGTAAGTTGGAACTGTATTATATAGATAACCCAAAGTCTTAAAACAAACATTAACCTCTATATGTAGAGCTTCAGTTCAGACATAGCATAACCCTGCTATATGAATCTCTTTCCCCCCCTGTTATCTGCGTGTTTCCATGGTTACTCTCCAGACGTTGGACCATCATACAGAATTGGAATGACAAGAGCACTGGATTTGATCAAAGACACGGTTGAAAGTTGCACGTCTAAAGATAGCTGCCATACAACATAATGGTAATATGTCTATGGAATGAAGCATCAGTACAAATTCAAACTAATACATAGATCAATAATAAACATTCTGTAAAGTTTAAAATAGTGCAGTGATATGTACAAGTGGAACCATTGCTTCTGCAGAAAATGTCAAGTTTGAAACAGCAGGGATTAATCTAGTCTTATTTTGACATTGTCCTCCATGCACTTTTGGAAGAGCTCCCCTCAGCCAGAGGATTGTAACAGTTCCTCAAACTTCAGAGGAACAAGTCACCATGTGGCCTCATAAATCCAGCCTAAACCGTGTAACTGCAATTTTGCTGCAAGATGGCAGTTTGGGTAAAAAAAGCAACTGTGAACTGATTTGCCCAACAGCTGGAAAAACAGGACCAATCAGTGAGCTACAGGTTCTGGGTTAATAGAGTTCACTTCCCAAAGAAAGTGATAATTCAAACTCTACAGTGCTGTAGGCATTATTCTGCATTGAAAATAAACATGGTCCAGTGACTGTTACAAAAATATAAGCTTTATGTGGCACTTATCTAGTGTAATATTGCATAAATTCACGCTATCAGTAAAAAATATTTGTGAAAATGGTCATAATCATGTGGACAATGTATGCAAAACCTTAAATGACCTCACAAAGTACATAGTCTTGAAGTCATTTAGTTTTAAATAGAAAAACAAACAAATGCTTTAGGTCAAAATGCTCATTCCCTTCATAAATCAACTTAGCCACTCGAAGGAACACAAAGATTAACATAGTCCAACACTATGACTGTATGTGTTGTTCTTCAGGAGTATACTGTCTTCTTTGGTTTAAAAAAGGGAAGCTTCTCTCTTTCACTCTCTCTCTGACTCTACCTACAGGCAACTCTGTGTTCCTTGACCCATTTCCCAGGCATATTCTCTCTCCCCCTCTCTTTGTACAGATACTGTAGCTGATTTACAACTATTGGAGCAGAGAGCATGTGCTGAGCTTTCACTGGTTTGCTGAAAGTTGATGAGCCATAGCGATAACCATGTGTCAATACACTGTGTGCCTCTCTTGTTTAATATGTTTTGTTTGCTTCCCACAACTGCATCAGTCTTCATGGAGTGGGCTGATTGAAATCACATCAAATCTGAAACAAAACAACATTGATTTCCTTTGTTGGGCTTAATTACTTTGGTTCTCATTGGTATTCTGGACAGAGTTTTAGAGTCTCACACACACAGACAGCCTGACACACACACACACACACACACACACACACACACACACACACACACACACACACACACACACATTTCCCAACCACTGATAATCTCACAGACATGCAAATATGCCTTTAAAATCAGGATAGACTTTTCTAATATTTTGCATAATTTTGCTTGATTTGTATTTTTTTAATTATAGTTGAAATGTTGATGCTATAAGATGCTATATTTGCAACATGCTGGCCTGTCATCATGCAGAACTAGTTTCCAGTTTTAACATCATAAGCACATAGAATATGACGTTTGATGATGCCCTGAGTACAACAGCACAGCAGTGGTTCATTATTTATACCCTTATATTACATCATGCAATATTCCCTTTAATGTGAATTTCCCCTAACATATCCCATATCTTTCCTCTTTACCTCTCCAAGGTGGATGCCAGCAGTGTTCTGAAGAAGAGGATGAACTCTGCCCCAATATTTGACCGCCCTGCAAAAACATTTCCCAACCCACCCGTCAATGCCCAAGCCTTCCTGCAGCAGGGTTCAGCTGTACCGGCCAACAACGTCCTGACTGGCACCAGCATCATAGACAAATACTCCCGCATCCTCTTTCCCCTTTCGTTTGGCGCCTTCAACCTGGTCTACTGGATCGTCTATCTCACCAAGGACACCATGGAGATGTCCAGGTGAACAGATGGCACGGTTCTTACAAGTTATTCCAGCTCCTTCCATCTGATGATAATTTATTTGCCTGAGCGCTGCACATCCTCAGCCAGGCTTTTAAAATAAATAAAACCAAGTTTTCTAATGTGTGTGCTTATATTAAGACTGGTTATAACCAACCATATTCCTTCTCCTCTTCAAATCCACTCTTCCAATACAGCTACTTGGTTAGAGGCCCAAGCATCAAAAATGAAGATTGATACCATGATATGATAGTTACATTTTTTTTTACACAAGCAACATCTAGTTAGACTTTCTAAATAAAGCTCGCTAATGAACATTTAATTTGACATACCTGCACATCACATAATACTACGTAACTAATACAAATTGTATTTTACGTAATTAGCACACTTTGTATTATGTACCTAATGTTCCAACTTTACTGACAGATTTAATGAAACTTAAAAGAGAAGTGAACTTTGACAAAAATCCAACATTGACTTTTATACCAGAATATAACCTGGTCTCCTGGACAAAGATCTTGTTTCTTTGACACAATCATTACATCTAAAGACTATTCAGTCTTTTTACTCCAAAACTGAAACTATACAACAATACAACAAAATGCAAAAGTCTTGTTAAAGGGTACCTAAGCCATCATACTGTGAAACTATTGGCCTCTGACCAATCTGCAGTGGTTGACCTATAGGACCAACAACGTTGGCTTCTATAAGACATTAATCCTAAAGGAAAATGTGAACGAGCCTAAGCCAGCATGCCAGTTTTGAAATCCAGCAGATGGGTTGCTGCTGTGAGAATATAAACAAGGCCAGACTCTTCTCTACATCTATAACCTTTAATCGTGTGTACAAAGTGTTCTGCTACAGAGGTTTAAAAAATGTATCAGAATAAGATTTTAATGAATTGCTTTTATGGAATAAGGAAAAGATAAAAAATCTGTCCACAAAGTTTTCTTTGCCAGCTCACAAAGCCGATGCTCAGCTGGTATCATCAGAGTTGTTTGAGCTGAATATACGTTACTTCATTTACAGTGAGAAGTCCACGGACAGATGCAGATGGTAATCTGTTAAGTGTATGTAACACATTGAGACTATTATGTAAGTCAAGTATATTATCAGTGTGGAACCATTTAAATTAAAACTATATTTAGAACTACATGTAGTACTATATGTAGAACTGCTCTATTGAGGCATGAATACTGTACATAATTCAAGATGTATTGGTAACTTGTGTGTGTTTGTTTGTGTGTGTGTGTGTGTATGATGGAGGGTAGTATGTGGATGTACAGTATGTATCCGTCTCTATTATATGTTTATTTTCCTTTTTTATGCGTGTCTGCCAGCCTGAAAGCCCATCATTTATTCAGCAGCCACAAAAAGCACTTACTGCTCTAATAATTTACCATATGGCTTTTCTTAATGTATCAGCATAGTTGAAGAATGGGCACAGGCTTCCTACAGTCGTTGAATTATAATTGCATTGCAAGACCACCGTGCAATGCTGGCAGGCTTTGTATTTGTCATTCAGTGTTTTGCACTGAGTCCAGCTCTGCAGTGCCAACAGGCTGAAGTCCTGAATAGCCTGTAGGTGTTTGTTTTCTTCATACACAGTGAACCATAGCTTCAATGATGGCACTAAAAACACAGTAAATTCTAATTTGTATCTAAGTTTAAAAATAAATAAATAAATTCATTTTTATTTTTTTTACTTCAGGGCTATTTTCAAGACATAGACATTGGATCTGCTGAGCTAAATGTAAGGCTCTGCAAAGACACCACAGTGCCTTAAGCTAAATCTCAAGATGTTCAGTAGCAAAACTGATTTTAAAGCCTCGTGAGGAACTTTCAGTTTGCGTTGATTTTGGCGCTCTCTGTGGACAAAAAGATATACAGTACTCTTATCTCCCTGCTGATCTTGTCCTGTTCATGTCTAGTGTTTTTTAATGAAAAATCATATCCTACTTATTTAAAAAAAAAAAAATTCAGTCAATCCTAGCACTCCTTATTAATTATTTGCCACAGGAAATGCAAAATGAAATATGTTTCCGTAGCTTGTTACACACCCAAACTAAAGCCAGAATATATATAGGGCAACAAGCCACAGGCCTCAAAGGCTCTACTTGGACATAACCTGAGATATGTCTTGATGAGTTTGATAGCTGAGAAGCTTCCATATCTAAAGGAAACACTGACTGGAAGATCAAACAGCAATATAGCAGGGCAATGCTGAGCTTTCTATTGATATATAACATTTGCTTTTAAAATTGATCAAGGAAATTCATCAACAGCATCAACTGCCCCTGAAGAAAATATTCTAAACATTCAAAAAAGAAAAGCCATATGGAGGAGTTTTCTGCAGTTTTTTTTCCCAGTTGTCTTCAAGTAAGTCTCTCTGAATAGTCTTTAAAAAAATGCTCTCTCAACAACAGAAAACCATTAAGGTCATAAACATCCTCCAGTTTTCGAAAAATGTGATGTTCAAGCTGTTCAAGGAGAAGAAGAGAAATGGGCAGAAAAAACTCTTTAAACTGTTAAAGTGCTCATCTATTCAGCTGGCCTATCGGGGAAATGTCCTGTCATCTCCAAAATCTCAAGGTTTCCTGCTATCTTTCTAGCATCAGTTTGAGAGGCAGCAAATATCCACTTTGCCTGAAATTATCCAGATTAACTCTATGCGCTTGTTTCTTTTTCAAGTGTTTCCAGAGAAACACTCAGGCTTCTGCAGTTTCTTGCTGACGTGGTTGATCTGATACAATATGTTGTACCAGATTACCTTGCACAGCACAAACCTCCATGTCATTGCCTCACTCACAATGCTGGTATGTGGAAATTGTCTCCAAATCCTTCTTGTGCTCTGATTACTGTAGAGGTTTTACGGTGGAGTGCTCGAAAAACTTTCATAACAAATGGTCTCCATGTTCATTCAGTTTTGATGGTTAATGTAGTCAATTGAAGCATTAGATTCCTCAGTGTGCTACAATAACAGAGAAACCAAACTTTTGGCATTCTACAGGCTTTTCCGCAGTGCCTTAATATGCTTTAATTCGTTAGCCATTTTCTGTAGTTTGAAAAGAAAGGCAAAATGTCACCCTGAATACTATACAAAAACAGCCTTGCTGAAAATGTACAAATATCTCTTCTTGTTGCATACTTTGATAGCTTTGGCAAAGAAAGCAAAGGTAAAACTGCTGACGTTGCTAGCAGTTAGTTGTGGCCAATGGCCAGTGTTTGGCCTGAACACACTCATATTTTCAGTAACAGTCTATTGAATGGGTCAGTTTGCAAATCATGATGGAAAACATAAGCGTCAGTCACTCTGGAGCTGTGAACAACTGCTCACGTTTGGCGGTATGGAGGGCTCCAAACACTGTGTACTGATGTCGGATATGTGACCCCTGGATGCATCTCACATAATATGCATCTGTTATACTTTTCAAAGTAAAAGCTCCATCTATTTGATGTTTTCTGAGACTACCTGCAGTTTCACACAATCATTTTATTCTTAATTGTTATGCAGAACATTATGTTTAATGACACTTGCAAAACTGTTTAGCTCTTTTTGGTGTATCAGCTAAACCTTCTTAGAAACAAAATAAGTAGTCTATTATATTGGCTGTACATAGACATGTACATAATTTAAAAATGTCAGGTTATTGGCGGTATTTAATTTTTTGTTATATTCCTCTTGTTCTCTCCCTCTCCCCCTATGGTCTAAAGGCCCTGACACACCAAGCAGACGGCAAAGAACTAGTGGCGATGAATGCCGCCTGTGGCGTCGACTCTCGAATTGGTCGATGGGGGTCGACGGGTAGCAACGGAGCCGGACACACCGCAAAAAATAGGGTGACGACTGTTCACCGACCGACAATCTCCTTGGTGTGTCAGGGCATTAACATAGAACAACTCTGTCACCCTTCACAGGTGTTGCCTAGGGTGTTTTAGAAGTTGAGTTTATTTCAATCAGCATACTAACAAGCTTTATTGATCAGATGGACTGTGTAAAAGAAGTGGACGTAGCATCACTCTATGGTTTTCAAATACCCACTTTGAAGCTGTTGCCATCTTTGTTTTTGGGACCAGAAGTGACCATATTTGAATGATCGGAGACCCATAATGCTTAAATGGATGCGTTGGAGGCAACTTTTCCATCACTGGATGTATACCTTAATTTAGCATTGATTTATCAGAAACTGGTACAATATTTGCAAAAAGAAACATGATGCTGTATTAAAGAAGGCTTGATTTAGGCCATTACATTGAATGCTAGCTTAGGCAATATATCAACTCCAAAGCAGTGTCAATTTCCCCCTCTCATTTATGCCATTTTTTTTTTCAACCAGAGGAGTAGCCCCCTGCTGGACTTTAGAAAGAATGCATGTATAAGCACTTGAGCATTTGCTGCATTTTTTAAACTTAGAGGCTATACTTCTAATATACAATCAACACAGGAGAGACAGCATGCTTTAGTTCACAAAACCGATAGAGGTTTCTGAGATATAAACATGAAAGGCGTAACATAGTGTTATGCAGTAGCAACAAATCATTGTGGTTTCTGATTCCTGTTTGATGTGATAGAACTCTACAGTAATAAGAGCAGTAATCTGTGTGATTGAGGGAGTTCAATGAGGATGTGCAAAAACTGCACATGTATATGACAGAAGTCTGCTGGACTTTGATATGGTATTTTCATTAGGCCTGATGTTGCCACAATGTTATTCAATCAGATTTTATATCTGGCTAATGTAGATGCATAAAAAAACAGGTGTAAATGAGAGTTAAAATTACAGTGATGCACGTTTAATTGAGCTGAACTGTGAGTCTTTACAGAGACTTACAAAGACTCAAGCTGTAGTGTAAAAAAGAAAGCAGTCCTGCACAGCTGAATCCCACTACATGGTACAATACTTCACACTTCCACAATTAACACTTTATGGTTCATTACTATTTTTATTCAGTACCACCCACACTGGTGACCCTTTGATTCTGAGTTAGTTCCATCTTAATCCAAGTATTACTACTAATACATAAAAGTCAGTTCACTGCACAGAAATAAATATCCAGCTCAAGTGGCTCAAGCTGAAAGCGGATCACAGTAAGTGCAGCAGCTCCCTTTCATTCTTTGTAGCTTTGCTTTTATCATAGAAGGTACTCTCACAAGGCTGAGCTGGACCAGACGCGGACTCCGTTTGTGTCAGCGTGTGTGCAGGTGGATTTGTGTGCGTGTCTACTTTTGTGAAGATGCAGGCATAGAAGTGTATTAGTGTGCCATGGCAGCAGTGCCTACCGACTCAAGGCTATTTTAATGAATAGCGCCATTCAGGGTGAGACATGAAGGAAACAAATTTGCTGAAAACACTTCCTTCTGTGAAGGGCCCCAGCTGGTTGCTGACTGCTTGCTGCCTGGCTGGTGCGCTGACTGGTGTATGTGTGTCGGAGCGGGTACAGCAGGTGATAAGCCCTTCTTCTCTTTATGGCCCATCAGAGTGCCGGGCTTGAAAAACAACTTCCCCATTGTTGCACGTAAATCAAAAGCACTAAATGCTGTTTCCAACTCAATTCCTATTTTGGGTTGCAGGGCCAGAGCCATAACTTTGGTGTAATGATCATTCAATTACAGGGCACTCACACAGGGAGCGAAGAAGACCGATAGAAACAGCGATCCCCCATCTATCATATTTCTCTTGGCGGTCTTCTGGGAATTGCTACATCTGCCTTTGTCACCTAGTTTGTGTGTGCTTGCATGAATGAATTTCTCACACATCTACCTGTGTTTACATGGACGCCTGTGTGCACGCTGAAGCGTAAAACATTTACAAATCCTTCTCGAGAGATAAATTGTTATCACACAGGAAAACTGCTCTTTGTCCCTGACTTGGTCTTCACTCTCTCTCCCTCTCCTCTGTCCCACTATCCCTCACACTCAATTGCTTTCTCTATTTCCCACTTTATCTCAGTGTCACTCTCTCAGACACACTCTCTTCCTCACTCTCTCTTTTCTCCCCCTCACTCTCTCTCTCTCTCCCATGCTGAACTACATGTACTCTGCTCCCTCTATGATAAGACAGGACAAACCAACAAGCTAAGCAGAGTGATGTCCCTCAACCTCATCTCCACAGCATTATCATACAGTCATTTTAGAGCAATGGGGAATCTGCTCTGTAATGACTAGATAGAGTCATCTGTTTACTTGAGCAATTACAGTTAATGTAGCAGGGCAGCCTTTTTCAAAGAGAAATGGTTGAACCACCAAAGGTCAAAAGTTCAGTCACTGCAAGAGACAATTAGTCTGTCAGCAGTTGCATGTACTGCCAATGTGCCCCAAAGCAAACCACTGAACACTACTCACTCATTTATGACACAGCAGATTCAATTAGGAGTTATTAGTTGCAAGAGGGGCTTTTTCACTACTAAAATTACAAATATTTAGAATGCTGCCAACAGATGAGACTGGCAAAAGCATAGCTGATGTCTACAGAAAAGGTGTAGCATTGTACAATGTGGACAAAAAGCAATGTGTGTCAAATGTTCATATATGTCAGAACATTTTGAATTGTATTATTATTATTCATGCATAGATATCAGGCATCAACCTACACAATAGTTTAGATTTAGACCTTATAATCGAATGGTCAGCTCCATTTTGTTTATTTGAGTTCTTACTTCTTGCAATATTTGGAATGATAAGTTGAAGGTGACATTTTAAAAGCCTCCAGAAAATGTGTCTTGAAATAGTGAATGAATGAATAAATAAATAAATATTTTCCTTTTGGGCCTCTCAACACAGCCAATCTCTTATGGTTTTATTCAGACACATTTAAAGAAAACATTAGCGCCATCACGCTGACCCAAAACAAAACATATACAAAAAATGGGTAGTAAAAATGCATATGCTTTGTTGTCCACATAATTGTTAACATAATCTTCATATACGTGCAGCATTAACTGAGATGCCCCTTTTTGTTCTTAAAGGTTTGGATACAATTACAAAGCTAAACCCCACCACCACCTCGCTCACGTTTAATATCCAATGGGGGAAAATGGATCAATACCTGCCAGCTCTAAACCCTGGCAGCAGAAAATAGACAAACGCATTTATGCTCAAGAACCCCAGGAATAAATTCTTGGCATGCAGACAATACTAATAATGGGTGTAATCAGCATAATAGCTCCAATGACATTTCTTACAAGTCGGTCTCAGAATATATGACATAGTTGATATAATATTAATTTCAGAATTGTGTCTTAAACTAAGGCTGCACAATAGTTTTGTGTTTTCATTTATATCGAAATATAAGCATTTGCAATAAGCATATAACAAAAGTCTAGATTTATTAATATAAATGAGAAAAATGCATGTGTGCATTGTTAACTAGTGGATGTAGACTTGGGCTTAATGAACATGCTCATACACCACTGTAATGCTGTGAGAATACGCTTAAAAAAGTTACCCTCAGACCAGTTGGTGCCAATTTAGTGGTGGAAAACAAAGCTGGTTGTTTTTAATTGCTATCGATGTAGAACAAACCTCCTCCATGACTTGCTTTTTTATTTTCATTGGCTAATTTTTTTAAAAACACTGGTGTACGGGTCTTTGCATAAATCTAACCAAGTGACATGTCAAATGGTTAGTATCAAACTTTTTTTTATTATGCACAGGAACCACTCACAGAGACACACATTTGTACTTCGGCTGCTTTAAATGGTTTATGTACATCAGGTGATCTAATTTAAACCAACAAAATCCATATGGAGTAATTGAATCCTACCAAGATGGAAGTGCACAATAGCAGCAGATGCAGTTCATTGGCAAAGTATGTGCACTTTAGAAAGTGAAACAAACTTAAATCAACTAACTTTTAAAACAGTTTTGGCTTCATGTTTGGCCTTTAAAGCACATGGATACTGAACATGATCTGCCACCCGAATGCCTCTTGTCTACCTAACAATCCAAAACAAAGAAAGTTAGCCCTTTCTATGCCAGCAGCCTTGTACAGTAAGTTTTCTGGCTGGGAAAGGCTCACAGTGCTGTCAAAAGTGCCTCCTGCTTTAACACATCAGGCGGAGGAGGTGGAGGTGTGAACTACCTGGCAGAGGTACCCAGACGAGCTTCACAGGGTCTCTGTGAACAACACTGGCAGCGAGGGACTGAATAATTCCAAATTTTAAATTCAGCCTGGAATGAATACCAGCCTCCACAGCATCCCTGAACCAGAGCATGCTGTTACATCATCCCACTGTGCTTTTGTGCTTGTGTTTGTGCAGGCAGATGTGAAATGAAGTAGGTGTGTGTGTAGGTGTGTGTATGCATAAATCTGTATGATTGAATATGTTTTAAAAGATCCATAATTCGAAGCAGACCTTGATTTTCTCCGTGCAGCATACCAGGATGCTCCTCTCTCTCTCTCTCTCTTCCTGTCTCTGCTTAACACACACTGAATACTTGGTAGCCATCTTTTTACTCACTCTGTCTTTATGTCTCTGTCTTCTGTCTTACAGGGACACCGTCTAAGCCAAGAGTTCGACTCAAGTGCACAGGAACACACAGGAACACATACATATATATGTATATATATATATATATATATATATATATATACTCAATAAATAGATGACAAACGTTTGCCAAGCATTCTTTTATGCCGCCTCAGTGCATTGTATTTCTTTTTAACTCCCTCGGAAAGTGAGTGTGTTCAGAGCAGATGAACCAGCTCCAATTGCCAACTTGACCCAGGAGCTCACAGCCTGTGTGCCCCAGGTTCTGGAAACGTTTCAAACAGGTATTAAATCTCTCACTGTTTCCCTCATTTCTTTATTTCTCTTCGCCAATATTTAAAAAAAAAAAAAAGCCACACATGATGACACTTTTTCTGTATCTGTCTTGATTCCCTGCTCAAGTCTATGGGGCAAGATGTAGCTTGCTAGGCTAGCTAGGCTGCAGAGCCAGGGGGCAGAGCCACGACTTTGTTCTTCGTAGTTATTTCTGTGTGTGCAACATGCATGCATTTCCACACATGAGAGTGATTTTGCATGAGTTGAATATATCCCATTCCCTATAATGATACTTAGGACACACAAGGGGGATGAGTGCTCTCTCTTTCCTGACTGGATACATTGTGACTGACTGACTGACTAGCAGGAACTCTCTCACTTCCAGCCCTCCTCTTTCTTTCCACTCCTCATTTTCTTCCCACAACACCCATTTGCAATCGCCTTTTTTTTTTTTTTTTTTTGGTTCATTGGCTCAATTTCCCTCCGCTGATGGAGTACAGAGGATGTGGAGCACAATCTTTAAAGTGTTTTTATGGTGTGTTCCAAATATGCATTGCCCTGGTTGAACATTCACTTTGACATGCAGATTCAGACAGAAAAGAAAAAATATCATGTCAAACATTTAAAAAAAAAAAGAACATGCACACATACTAGAAGCTTACACTTAAAGTTTGGAATGTTTTCCACATTGACAGGGTTGCTTGCCCTAGATTTATTTTAAAAATATGAAATGTCAGTGCATAATTTAATGATAAGTACGGAATGAGTTGTCAAAGTCTAAAGCTGTGATATGTCTGGTATTTTTTTTTAACCCAGAAACACCCAAAACCTGCCTCCAGCAATAGAATATACAAGTTGTACTAGATATTTAATGTTTGCTGGAGGAATCAGTTTAAGCTGCAAAATGTATGACACAAAACACTTCATTGCAACCCCATTAGATGTATCCACATGGAAGAAAAGTGTGACAAACATTGACAAAAAAATTAAAGAAATATAATGATATATATATATATATATATATATATATATAAAGAGAGAGAGAGTTCATCCTCTGCTGTACATATACTTGTGAGCATCTCACACAGTACAGACTTCATGTATCCTAGTAACAAATGTTCATTCCCAGGAGCTGATTAAAGCCTTTATGTGCTAACACTGTTATCATCTTCTTGTTTATTGTTGCTATTTATTGTAGTCATTTAATTGAAGTAAAGGACTCCTACACTGGTTGCCAATTAATTCTGGAGTCGACAGCTCTGGCATCTGGTTTTCATTATGAAAGCAGCAAAAAATAGAAACCTAAACCTATCATCATCAATTATTCCAAATGCCAAAAAACGTATTCATTAATAATCCACTTGTGTGGATTTGCATACGATTACACACCATTTCCAATTAAGCAGAGAGGGTAACACGTTTAAGCCATGTGGGCTTCTATATATAAGCTGATGTGTGTTTGCCTCCTCATGACATCCATCATCCACGAGGATGTTCTCATTAAAGAGTCTCTTAATAACACAGTCAGCTTGTGAAGTGATAAAGCTGCCCACTGCAGCAAAAGGTTACCCTAGTCTTGAAAAGAAAAATGGACACTTCCTCTGGTGGTTTTGTTGATATTTCATTTTTATGAAAATTCACACAAAATAACTGTTTAAAAAAAATGTGCAAATGTGAAGTTACTGAGGTGATATGACTTCCTGGTCCTTTAATATTGTCTTATGTTTATTTATTTTTTATTGCCAGTTTGTAAGGATGCTCTTTGTTTGTTGTATATATTTATGTCTTTGTTATGAGCACTTTCAAAGGACCAACATAGGAAGCTCCGTTCAACAAAAATGACATTATAGATCAATAATGCATGATTAAAACGTTGCATCATGAACTTTTTAGAGAATCAAAATATGCAATGCAATAAAAAATGCAATATAGCCTCTGGTCGGACTCCCAGGGTTTGGATCCAATGCTCTGAACTATTTTCTGAAGAAGCTAAGCTTTCAAGTCGCAAACAAGAAGCTCTATCGCCAAACAAGAACATCAGCATTGGACTTTTGTGCAAAACCTCGGATGACATCCAGTGCCAAGGATTTTTGAAAATTGTTTTCTACAATAACTGTGCATGGGAACTATGGTTTGAAAAATGTAACATTAGGGTTAGGCTATAAAACATCATAAGGTTATATCATTTAACCTGCTATGTTTGGACTTAAGCTTTGAAAATTTAAAATGTGGGAATAAGGCCTAACATTGATAATTATGGACTCAAAAGGATCATTTGAAGGCCTGTTGATGCATGTTTTCTCCCATCTGTGCACCACAGGACTAAATGAGCAGAGGTGTCAGACTGTATGAACTGTCTTTGCATCCTCCCACTTCCTCTTCTTCACTCACCACCCTCCTCCCCCTTCTGCCTTTGAGCCAAAGGCTAAAGAGAGAGGCCATTTCAGCCCTTATTGCCCTCTGTGTCAGGCTACATTGTGGAAAAAAACCTGACTGCCAGTGAACTCGGACTGCTACAAAACTGCTGGCTCAAACCCAACGGAGAACCAGAACACCAGTGACCCTCCTATTGAATAAACTCCTGTCAAATCAAACAGAAATATGGATGTGTGCACGTGCGAGTGCTAGTGTGAGCATTTAAAAAAAATGACTTAAATCATTTTCTTTAACCAGTGACCCGATTGATCTGCCCTCTGATCCCCAGCCTAGCTGCTCAGCTCCATCACTCCGTCCTGAGAACCACAATTGCATGACCTCAGACGTTTTATGTGCTTGTTAGGGTTGTTGAATGTAAAAGGTTGTGAACTCCATAGAATGTAGAATTCTATCGCTATGGTGACTGCGGCCACAAACTGCCCTTTTGTCGTTTTGTTTCATTCCAGACCACAGGCATGTGCTTTATTCATGTTTTCATTTAGCCAGTGTTGACCTAGAAATTGTAAAACACAATTTAGAGACAATGAAAGCTATACATTGTCATTTTATTTGTATATTTTGTGAATACAATCGGTTATTTCTGTAGGTTGGTATTTATATTCCAACTGTTTGACCCTGCTTGATGATCAGCTGCACCACATTAACCATTTGTACTGATTTGTATGACCTCAACTTTTGTATTCAAGCGATTAAGTTGCTCTAGACTTGCCCCTTTATTAGTTTTTAGTGTCATGAGAGTGGCTGTTTTTATTGAAAAACAAAACACTAATTGCATATTCAGGTAATTTGTCCCCTGTTAATAAATGAACCGCTACACACTTTCCCCAGCAGAATGTAAAATATATGTTCAATAAAGACAGAATATGTACATATATACAAACAGAATATATCTCTCTTTTTCACTTTGCTGGGAACTTCCACTATACACCGAGCGATGCAATCTTTTGATGATGCCTTTGAGGCTTTGCTCATTGTGGAATAGTATTTGATGCAATCTCTACCGCCCTCCTTAGCAGGGTGCTGTTCTTTCTTTTTTTATTGCCACAATTTTAATTATCTGACATACAAGGACAATTTTTTCATCCTTACAAATACCTAAAATTCAATTTCTGGATAATTATACCCTTCCAGGCTCACGCAGATAGTTATTATGGTTGAATATAACCGCGTTAATTTATGACGTTTAACCACACATGAAGACAATCATTCTAATTTCATACATGAATGCTACTGAACACTGTAAATGTGACTCCCACTGCTCCCAGTTATCATAGAGATGATGTAATATGAGATGTCATGAGAGACAACAGTAGCAATGTGGCATATCAAACACACAAACTGTGTTGAAGCAGCTATATATAAACATGCGCAGTACATGCCCTGGTATAGATGGAAAGCTGTACAGCCAAAGAAACATCACGACCCATAAACTAGACTATTTTTTGTTACCTTAAACACAAGAAAGCGACATTGCCTTAAAACCCAGAAGTGTGTACTCTATATTCATCCACACAGAGTGGTGTAACCTCCACGCCTGCTCTAAGTCACACACTCCTCTCACTTTTTTTTTCATTCTCACACATTAACAGCAGCCAGCAGGCATTAAAAAAAGCAAAGGACTCAAAAAAAGGAACTTTAGTGAACCATCTTCCTGTTCCCTTTGGATGCAAAGGCATGTGCTTCCAGACCCGTCTCAGTCTGGGTCATCATAACCAATCACAAAAGGGTAGAGTGCCACCTATTGGTGCACAACCTGCATCCATTTTCCTCTTTACCACCACCTCTTCACTCTCCCTCCTCCCACAGACACACTGGCGCTTCACTCCTACACACTGACTCACCATATGTTTTTTTACACACGCACAGTGAAAAACACAGTTTGAGCGCACACAGTAGCTGCACGCACACAGAGACTGACATGGAGGAAAATCTCAGTTTGTGTGCATTTGAGAGGATGCACACAGATGCACATGCATTAACAGAGAAATATTAAATCACAGACAAATGCATTAATGATTACATATTAGCATGCACAGTGATTATGAGAATAGTTGATAAGAGAGGTTGATTCTGTATTATTGCTTTGCACAAGATGGGGACCTTTATTGCAGTTCTCTGCCCTTTTCTTTCTTTTAATTTCTCTTCATTGTGATATTTAATAAAAGTAAAAAGTGAATATATATATATATATATATATATATATATATATATTCATATATGAATGACAAAAAAAAATACATGTATTTTAAATTATCTAAAGAACAGAGAATATTACATTCTCAAAAAGGTAAATATTTCATGAACTAGTAATTTTTAAATTTTAAGTAAATTTTCTAGGCTAAAGTAACTAAAAATAATGAACAAATGTAATGAAAAAAGTGAGTGCAATGCTTTATTTAAGCTCATAGAGTGTGTCAGTTTATTAAAATGTACTTTGTGTTTTCAGCAGTGCCTGAGAGAGGAGCAGGCTGAGTGATCGTGTATTTTTTTGCTATTGCATACAAAGTCTAGTCTAGGTAAACACATAATATTACCCATCTCTTTAGAACTGATCTCATACACTTAAATCTAATATGCAACCTAAGTTGTGTTAGCACCTACTTGTGTCCTGTTGGCCCCCTAATCTATCCAGATGTGGATATGAATATACCATTAATCCATCCGGTGAATCTCCTCAGCTATCTCTGTCATGGTGATGGAAATTCTTGTAGGAAAAAGCAGGATCATCCTCCACCTGTGGGGAGAGAATAAGGATGGCAGCTTTTTCCACTGACATTTGACCCCCCACAAGAAAAATGTTTATACATTCAGATATGCACACATGCACAAGTATGCACACATAGAGGGCAGCTGGGCCTAAGAGGAGCTGTGCTCCTCCACTGTGAACAATTTCCACAGCGCTGTCAGCAGGAACCATATTAACCACATCAGATTCCCTCAAATGCCAAACTGTCACATGCAGTCTGATTCATCAACTTTCCACACTGTCAACCCGAGGAGAGAGGAAGATAGAGAGACTGATGTAGAAGAGGAGGGAAAGAGGGAGTTAGAGAGGGAAGAGGACAATGAAGGTAAGAGGAAAAACTGCAACGATGGTGAGGTGAATTAAATAAACTGAGAAATGGATAGAGGAGGGAATCAGAGAGAGAGAGAGAGGGAGAAATTATACAGTGACATAGAGAGGTAGAGGGGAATTGGGGATTCAGATCAAAAACCAATAAATAAATCTCTCTCGTGCCTGATATGCCAAGCTGCTGCTCCAGAAGAAACACGACGGCACAAACCAACCAATAACCCAGAATGCCGTGTGTTACACGGATGGGGAACACACTCCGACGCGCTCCCTTTTTTCTGTCGCTCCCTGTGTGTGACAGAGCCACAGAAACACTCACAGCTGTAGTGACGTTTTGTGTAGCGGTGCCAGCAGCTGACTCTCATTTCATTTGGTTCCATCTCCTTCCCCTCTGAAGGATGTAATGTGGTGTCATGCACACTGATCTCCAGTTCCATTTGCTGCCTAGTGGCAGTACAGAGCATGAAACAATGCTTAGGAGGCTTCACTTGATGTGAAGTATTTTGAATGAAACTAGCACCAGGCGTATCATGTTTCAGCTGTTGAATATATGGGAAAATGTGGGTCTGAAGAGTTCTAGAGAGCCAGTGATGCTTTCAGGGTCCCTGTTTTTGCTCTCTCTCTATCTTTTATGAACTCGAGAAGAAAATCCTTCGTGTTTATTTATATTATGCAATGTGTCACTGTAGGAAATGTAAATGAGGTCTGAAGGAGCTCATCACAGCTGAAGTGACTTTTTAACTAAATTTTTTAAAAATTTAGACCCTGAAGACCAGATTGCTCTTCAGGGTGATGTAAACATTAATCATCCTAAAACACCTGTTTACCTCAACTTCATGAACACATTTAGGGGTTTAAGGGTACTGTTAGAGCAAAGTAGGAGGGAGTGACTACTCACTGGTTGTGCAATAAGGAAAGAATAAAGAGAAATGACGTGACTAAAAAGTATGCGTTGTGGTTTGCTTAAATGTTGGACAACTTTCATCAATTCGATCTCATGTATTTTACAAATGTGGTTAAAATATTTCTAAAAGTAAATTTTTGCTGATTTTTCATGTATGTTCCTTTAAAAAGTGTATGATGGGAAGGATGCAAGAGTACAAGTCCCATATGGTGCAAACTTTCTTTACGAACAACAAAATGTGCAGATGAGTACTGGTGACCTGATCAGACTTGAAGGCTTGTTTTCCTAAAATCAAAGTGAAGAGTGGCATTCTTCCTCGGAAGAAGGACCTCAGGATTATTGCAGAAAATACATTTCAGAACAAACTGGTTTCTTTGAAATAACTTTATTGGGCTTGTTCTGTGGCTGATTAGCTATCGTGGCTCATTCTGCAGATGATCAATGATGGCAAAATGTTGATGTGTTCAACATAAGGGATCTTATTTTCTTCAGCTGCAGTTGATGTAAACCTGGGCCTTCATATCACTGTTATAATGCATAATTGCACAACATATTCTGCACATGTTTGGCTTATACTTAGCTTTTATCTTTATGAGAATCCCAATATTCATATTTGTATCAAACAGTTAAGTATTGTTGTAATTACTGAACCACACAATAGAGACTCCAATAGATAACATCATTGTGTGCAGGTCGTTGTGCTCCTCAGTTACAGAAAAACTAAAAACAAGGACCCACGGCAGAACCAACATGATTTCTTTTAACAAAAGACTAATTCCACAAAAGAAAAGCTTACTTTTTAACTGAAGTCCAAAATGCTAATTGAAACAAGAAAGTCCAAACAAAGGGACAAACACAAGCTCTTCTTCTTTGGCTGTTAGGGGCATCAACCACCACCTTCTGAACTGGAGTGTAGGATCTGAATTAATCGATTTCTTTTTATATCCTTGTTTTGAGTCTGTATTTTTTCCTCTTTCTAAAAATCTAAATAAAGCTCTATACTCAGCATGCCCTGAATTCAACTGTAACTTGTGTGTGTGATGTGATCTTTAGTTTTGTATTTTAGAACCTGTCTTTGCTGTTGGTATTGATGACAATGGATTTTAACAGGTTCGATTGTCTCCTGTGCAACACAGTGCTCACACATAGTGGTTGGATACTTAACAATGATCTTTAATTTACAGTTCAGGTAGTTATGTCCGAAACGCATTCTTGTAAAGCACAAGCACACAGCAAACAATCCACACAATGCGGACTTGACTACAGACTGACACTGGAGCGAATTAAAACAGAGACTAAATAAACACTGGGGTAATCAAGACAGGTGTGACTAATTACACAGGTGAAGACAATCAGGGTGTGGCACACAATCACAGTGGAGGGAAACACACAAAGGCAGGAAATGCAACAAGGGGGCAAGAAAATAAAACAGGAAACACTAAAGTCTAGACTCAAAAATAAAACAGGAAACACTAAAGTCTAGACTCAGAAATAAAACAGTACACAAGAGCAAGAGGTTAAAGAAAAGATGACACACAAAGGGCAAGAAGAAACATTGAAGACAAGACTAGGGAATAGAAAATTCAAACAAATGGAAATTGAGAAACGTGAGGAAAGAAAAGACAAAATAAAACAGGAAACACAAACAACTATGAATACTTTGGAAATGATAATCAAACCAAGAATATACCAGACAGATTTACTAAAACTATCCATAAAGAATTTATTTTTAGAAGTGTTATACAAAATAAATGTTGCTCACATAATAAAGTGTCAAAACTTGAGGTTTCAAGTCTTTTTTGACAAAGTTTATTTTTATGATGGCAGAATAAAGTTACACATTTTTAAATGAGCTAATGCCACAGTATAGAATGGAATAGAAAGTGTATTTTCTACTTTTGGATGTGT